TAAAAAACGGAATCATGGTTCTGACTGAAAATGCTTTCCTGATTGGGGAGGGTACGTTAATGAAGAGTAAATTCCTAGAGTAAGCTAATATCAACATATGGAATTTTATAGTTGTCCCTGAATATATTTGCTCTTGAGTATTTGTCTCCTGACAAGATATACTGGCTTGTAGAATTAACCGTTCCATATGGCTAACAAGCTTATTCAATGAGAATCTGGAAAGGAATTATTTCAGAGATACCTTCAAGAACAAATACCCCAGGAGAGCAACTTCTTTCTAATGAACTTGGCAACATCTTGCACCACATGGAGATGTTGGGTTACAGGTCTAAGGCAGGAAAATAGTAATCTGAAATTCCTTGCTAGCCACAGTGGAACATACTCTCAAGGTGAATGGTCCCAGAGGTTTTATTTATGGACTCAGGAATTCAATATCATCTCCTGCTTCTCATTCAACACATGGTTCTACACCTCTTCCCGTCTTTCTTTAGGAAATAATATCCAGGTTGAGAATACCTTATTGATTTTGACATATAAGCAAGCACTTAGGATGAATACCATCTTGGTGGTATTTAGTTGTAGCTACAAAAAGCAAATAAAAACACAAGACTTATTTTAAAATGAATCAGTTCAGATCCTAAATGGCCAAAGAAATTCTCTTCACTATTAGTGAAGGCATGGAAGTATAACACAATGAATTTCAAATTTCAATATATATAGGCATCATTCAGGGATACTTGTTTAAAAAGCAAAATCCTATCCTAAACCAAATGAACTGAATTTCCTGAGAGTACACCCTCAGGATGACTTCTCAGGATACAGTTAATGGAAATATTACTAGCACAGAAGTTGGGTTACAGTCCAGCTGAAAGTCAATTAGTTGTGGAAAATGGCAAGGCATTTAATCATGAATCCATTTCTTCTTCAATAAAGCAAAGGTGCTAGACAGAGATAATCTTTTAGGTATCTTCAAATTTCAAGGATCTCAGAAATAAAATAATATCCAGGTATACCAACTTAAATTATTATGTGATGCTATTATACTTAGGCTTTTATAACATATGTTCAAAAAGTTATAACAGCCTGAACCATCATATTTCATTGGTAATTAAAATCAGTCAATAGGATACTGGAATCTGAGGTTGCAAAACTAAGCAGCATCTGTACTTTCTGTGTGCCAGTCTGTTCTAAGCGCTTGATAAATGATATTCATTCATTGAGAGGAAAACAAGAAGACATCAAAAGGTAGTCTGAAACCACTGAAATATGTAAAAGGGAATAATGTTGAATACTAAATTGTAATTACTATTAAAACTCTGGCAATACTTAACATTAAACCATAATCATAAAATGATAAAACGATCAATGGAAAAGAACCTTACTAGGTACAAATTAATGACTCTGCTTCCTAGATTGTGAATAATTTTCAATTCAGTAAAGAAATATCAGTTGAAATTATCAAGAAATCAGCAGCACTTAACCCTTCATGTATGTTGTCTGATAATATAAGCAAACATAAATCTTGATATTGTCTAATTCCTTTACAAACTATGATTTTAAAGCATTTATTTTCTAAAGTAAGGGCTTACAACATGTCAAATGGGTTAAGGAAGGAGTAAGAAATTAATTAATTTGTATGATAGATATCAGCTAGACTAGAGAAAACAGTAGCTTGCTTCTTTAAATCCTTGGTAGTTCCACTCTGGACAGAGATTCCCATTGCTTTTACAATTAATTATGTTAAAAGGAGGTTACAAAATGGGAAGACCCTCCCTCATAAGAATATAATGGATTATTTACATTTACTAGAAAACTGCAACAAATTCATCACTGTCCTAGTTTTTCAAGACAATAGCAAAGCATAAGATACATGTACGTGTTCTGTTTTACATTTGAGACAGAATAAGTAGATGAAGCAATAACTGGCTAACACATAGACTAGGCATGTGCCCGACATACTGGACTAAATAATATTAAACAAAGGCCACTCCACCCTCAACTACAATCATAAGCTCAATTAACTTTTCCAAATGTAAACAGATTCTAGAAGAGTAAGGCTAAGAAGATGAACAGAAAAAAGGAAATTAAGCTCTACAGACTTTATGTCAAAAAGCTGGTTCAGAAAAGACAGACCTGGAACCCTCGCTCCAAACTTACAGTTTAGTAACTAGAAGTTTCACCACAAAAATACTTTTTAAAAAGAACAGGAATAGAAGAAATCTGCTTGCTTTCTTTTTTTCATCCATGTATATACAAGTATTTTGTGGGTCAGGGACTCACATACTACTACTGCAAGTGAGTGGCCCACTGCCTGTCCATTATTAAAAAAAAAAAAAAAAAAAAAAACTAAGTAGATTCGACATTTTTAAGTGCCTGGAAAAAAATCAGAAGAAAACTCTTCCATGACATTTAAACATTATAAGAACAGAGTCTCACTGCAGCATCCACAAATAAGGTTTTACTGAAGCAGAGTCAGGCTCATTCGTTTACATACTGTGATGGCTCCTTTTGTAAAAGCAAAGGTGACTAGTGATGATGTAGACTGAATGTCCTATTTACTTTCTGCCCTTAACAAAGAAGGAGTACAAACCTCTGCTCTTTTCTGACTCAGTGAAAACTACATAATAAATATATGAAGAGTTTCATCAGAAAAGAGAGAAAATAAGACAATGGAAAAATTAAAGTTTGTATCCAAACTTTATCCTTCAATTCATAGCTAATAGGGAAAGTTTGGCAGAGTGACAGGGAGTGAGGCAATGACAAGGAGTGAGGCAGATTTCACATTATTGTAACTATGCTGATGGAACAAAAAAACCCTCACCATTTAGACTTGAAAATCCTATTGGCATATGCTTTCTCCAGCTACACCAAGTGGAAGCAGACACAAAGCATAAGGGAAAGATCTCTTAGCAAGAAACAAATAAGAGGATTCTAAGGCTCCTTAACATGTGTCCACCAATGACAGAACCCAGGGTAAAGAGTTAGGGAGGAATGTGCCTTGTTATGTAAGTTCTAGGTTAGAAATCAAACCCCAAATTCTCTTTCCAGCTGTGTCTGACTTTGAACTAGTCAGATGACTCTCCTAGGGTCTACTCTTTTATCTGTAATGTAGCATGCTGACCTACCAGAGGAATTCTCTCTCATCTTCTAAACTAGAGGAAAAACCAAAAGAGGAAAGGGACTAGGAGAGAAAGGACTTTAAAAGAAGAAGAATGTCTTAAGAACTTTTTAAAAGTTCCTTTGTTTTAAAAGTTATCAGTTTTAAATCATAAAGTTTCTTCTTTAAAGTAGACAATACACACTTAGGAAAGAGCTGTCCCTCATCTGAGAGCAGTGGCTTTATAGCCAAGCATCAGATGGCGCTAGATGACACTAACCACTACATCAGGATGGAGAACTAAGAAACAGAGGCATTTGAATTTGAGGATGTGAGTTTGTTCCTTCCCATTCTGAGGGGTTTCAGTAACAAAAGACATATGTACCCATGCTGGGTGTGTTCTTTTTTTTCCCAGGAGCAAAAGCAACATTTATCTGAAAAATGCCTGCTATACAAGTAGCCACCCAGGCATTAGTCATGAATATTATCTGGAACAATTAGGGGCCAGTTAGAACAGTCAGCACCTTCCTACCACTGTACTCCAATAAAATTAGGCTTATTTATCAGGTTATACACGTGAAAGTTTGGATAGTACAGTTCTGTTTACTTACTGGGGTAACTTTAAGAAACAAAACTCAAATTAGCTCCCTGAAGAGCAAAAACAGCGCACTGTCAAGTCTAGCAGAGGAATACTAACTTTCCAAGGGGCAGTATGATTTAGCCCATTAACTTGGTTTACAACTTTCTATAGGTTTTTCTTTGACAAGCATGGAATCTTAAAAGTAAGAGTACTATTTTCCCCTAATGAATTTAAGATCTCATTTTAAAAGTTAGTAGCCTTAAACCAGAGAAAAATTATCTCAAGATTTTGAAGAAAAACATTTTTAAAAATCTAATGAATATTAAGTATAGAAGTACTATATGACCTAGCAATTCCACTATTAGGTACATGAAAACATTATGTCCACATAAATTTGTACGTAAAATATTCACAGTGACATTTCTAATAGCCAGAAAGTGGAAACAATTCAAATACACAATAAAATGTGGTAATTTATACAACAGACTGACAATTAAAAAGAACTGAAATAATGATTGATGTTGCAACATGGATTAACCTTGAGAATACCACACTAAATGAACAAAGTAAGTCACAAAAGACCACATATTGGGTAATTCTTTTATATGAAGTTCCAGAATGGGTATATCTGTAGAAACAGAAAGTGGATAAATGACTGCCAGAAGATGATGGGAGGGAAGAGCAGCAAGGGTGGGCTGCTAACGGGCATGGACTTTCTTTATGGAGTGAGGATAATATTGTCAAGTTAGAACATTAGTGGTGGCAGCTGCATAAGTCTATATTAAAAGCTACTTAACTGTGCAGTTTATTTGAATGTGCCCTTTATTTGAATGGGTGGGTTTTTATGGTATCTCAATAAAGGTGTTATGAAAAAAAAAACTAAACTTTTTTCTTTGCTAAAAATGATAACACTTCATATTTTAGACAGCTATAAAACAAAAACCTCACTTTTGCTGCTACTGAAAGAGGAGTCAGGTTTAAGACAGGTTTACAGATTCCCCTTTTGTGGTAATTCTTACTGTCTGACCACTTTAAGCGTTATGACAAAAGTTAGTCTTGTGTTCATGGAGGAAATGTATTTCACTGTACTCTCCAAGATATTCATGTAGGCGGGCCCATCTCAAACTTTGTTGTGTGGTACACAGTTTTTATGAAAGCTTAGCTGCAACAACAACCACATTTCTATATCAGAATTAGAGAAAAAGGGGGCAAGGATATTGTTGTGCCCCTATGCCCCAAACAAAAACCACAGCCATAAAACAGACACAGGAGACCAAACTAATAAACATACACTGTGCTTATACACTTACTGATGCTACTTACCGCCTGGGTCTTTGGGCCTTGTTTCATCCTACGTGTGGTAGCTCCATTCCCTATAGCCACCTCTTCAGACACTGAACTAGCTCTGGTCTTACTTAGAAAATCCACTTCATCTTCAGCTTTCCTGTCTGGCATTTCTGAAGAGAAAAGGAGGGTTATAAAGTGAGTGCATTTGAAAAAATTCATTCTTGGGACTCACTATTTACACAACAAGCTCCAGGTTTCATGTTTTGTTTGTTTTGCCTTAAATGGAAAAGTATTCTTTTGCTGTCAGGAGCTGGTGTCACTCTGACCCCATGCTGAGTGAGCTACTCTTATCACATGGTTGTGTGGTTTTCATGTTCATTTCACCCCTGACTTTTCATGACAAATCTGTGAGTATGGTGCTGACTTCCGTGTGGAAAAGTCAATTCATAAACCGTAAGGGAACAGATTAACAGCTATAAGTAGTCCTTTCTGACTATACCAAAAATATTTTTTTTAAAAATAGCCAGAGGGATTTGTACTGAGAATGAGACAAACCCTCTGGAACAAGTCTGACTTATTCTAAACCTGTACTACACACACTCCCGATCTACCCTATCACTGTAATCACTAAAATTGAACTACTCCAGAAAATTACTTTTGATTTTAACTCTTTATTTTCTCCAAAACCAAAACATTAAAAAAAAGACTAGCAATTCATTTTATTAAGAAAAAACCTTTATACATATTTTCTCTAGTATTATGTAGTTGTCTTCTAGCTGGCCACACCAACAGACTGAACAGTGATGCTTTTGTTACTTGGCCAAACAAATACAGGAAGGAAGTGATAAAAATGATGCTGGAGGTAAATCTGGGCTTCTGATACTTGTATAAAGGGAAAAATGATTAACAAATTTGTCTCAGTATTCTAAATGCAAACAGAACTGTCATCTCATTTTCATGTGAAAAATGTGCTGTGGTCTTCATTGATCTCATGATACCACTACTCTGACAAATAAAAATGCTCCCTACAAATACCAAAAAACACAAAGCTTGTTTCTTTTGCCAAATAATAAATTATACTAATTAAGATTTTATTCTAGAAGTACATGCAACATGTCCAAAGTTCTCTTTTGATTTGGGAAGGTTAGATTCCTATAAACGAACATTTATAAATCTCCTTTTTTCTCTCCTTGCCTTTATAATTATATAATCTTACTACCAATTTAAAAATGGATTAAGAAGTTTCTTTGCCCAGAGTATCAAAATCTAAGTTTTATAAACTATAAAGTTAAAAAAAAAATCTCACTGAACAATGCCTTTAGAAATACCCCTTTATCAAAATATTTCTAAGTGAGAGTAATTGGAGGAATAGGTGTTGATTTTTTTTAAATTTTATTTTATTCATCTGGGGATGGTATTCTTGGCACAACCTTACTTTCCTATACCCCAAAACAGAAAATATGTATCTTGGCACATAGCAACCAGTTCCAATGGTAAACAGTGATTACAGAGATGTGAGGGGTGTTGGTAGCTCTGTGGGACTGGCATGGTTCAGTCATGCACCACCAACTTCCTAAGCACTGCAATCAATGCTTTTGATGGGTGAGAGATCACATCCCCTTTATTCTATCTGGCTCTTTCCCAATCAGCAGCTAAACCTATGTTTCCTCTCTGGTAAAACTACATAGTTAAATTTACAAGTGAAATGTAAATTTCCTAGGAAATACCCTTTGGCTCTGAGATCAGACTCAGGTGCTTTTTCTTAGGGTAATGTGACCAGGGACTTTTCCCAGCCCTAATTTCTGAAGAAGGCACCAATTTCTTTACCACTGGATACTTTTCCCTGTAGTTTGAGATCATGAGAACAGTAAACCTATGAAGACACCTTTTGGAAACAGGACAAGTAATTCACATACATAAAATACACCAATCCCAAGACCACATACACTGTTGAAATTTCCTATTTTCTTTCCTTTTTAATTTCCTTTTATTTATTTATTAAATTTTGATTTGTGCTTTCTTCCTTCTTAAAGAGTTTACAATCTTAAAACACTTCCTAGTGTATTCACTACACTTATGTACTATTAAAGTTTGAAATTCTCCATTGTCACCTTTTCTCATAGAGCACTACAGACACAAACCCTACATAGTACAAGTTGCTTCTGACCATGGAGTCAGAAGAAGAAATAATTCCACCCATGTGGCCAAGGACACAAGCACCCAAATTAAATGAACATAGCCAGGCATCAACTTACAGCCACTCCCATTCTTCTGAAATGCCAACCTGCCAGGGGCCCCAAAATAGACTTGTTGTTGTGCCTTATTTAAAACAGTAGAGACATTCTCATTTAAATTCTGAGACAGCAATCAACAAATTTCTATCACTAATAATTTAAAGCATTAATAAATCTAAAAACCTTTAGTCACCAAAAATTCTACTTCCGATTACTTAAATCCCCCAGCTGGGACAGGGTGGAGGGTACAAAATGGCTAAAAGCTCTTTACCAGGGAAATTAACCACTGTGTTTAAATTGCACTTCTTCTTAAGCAATTGTTTTTGTTGCTCCGTTTCTCACCACACCACACCCCACACTCCTAACACGTACTATACTATAAAAGCTTGTCAAAATTTAAAAAGGGGAAAAAACAGAACAAAAACAACCAAATAATAAGGATAAACAAGCTATCTCTTACCTACAAAAGCACAGGGGCAGGCATGCAGATAGGTCTTCTGTCTATCGATGGTAGCAGATGGTAGTATAAGAATGTGCATCCAACTGACCTTTAAAGACTTCAGAAGTCAAGACCAAGACAGACTCCAGTTTCAGCTTCAGTCTCAACCCCCAATAAGTTTTATTCAGATAGTTTATTTCCACTGAGCAACAGTGGTTTCTCTTTGCTGTCTCTGGACGTGGTTACCCATAGATGGAACAGGCTGCTGTATGAGCAATCTGCTCAGTGCAGCTGCTTCACCAAGATAAGCAGACACAAGGTCTGCCTGGTGACAGCAGCTCAGCAGACTGGGCTTGGGCGGAAATCCTGCATCCTATCCTCTGTGTTGTGCAGGGTCCTGAATTCTCAGACTCTGCTCAGAAGTAATAAGCAATGGAACTGGAGTTTTGCTCCTCAGGCAGGAAAAGGAGGGAGTCTCCTCAGTCAAACCACTGACCTCATACCACCATTTTGGGTGCTGGGTTTAAAATGATACTTATTTATAGCTGTTCATAAAACTACTCTGACTCTAAATTTTCTCAGAATACAGACAGAATGATAAAGAGGAAGAGTTTCAGGCTTGTAAATAAAACACATCCTTTACAGCACTGTTTTATGGTTCCAAAGAAAAGAACTAGGCCGTGTAAATAAAAACATCTGCTAAATTCCTTCATCTTTTACAGTACTTGTGATCTAGGCACCATCTTCCAGTTTGGAAAGTTGCAACTGCTCCAGTGTGACAGAGCACTTACAGGCTTAAGCAATCAAGCTGTGAGTCTATAATACAGGAAGCAAAATCTGTCCAACCCCAAGACGATGTGCGTCTCTTGATGGTGGTGTCTATTCACTTGGCAATCTACTCAATGAGCAAGAAAGACCTTCAAACAACAAAGACACCTGTATTTTATAGCATGTCCCAGAGACTGTAAAGGAAATCTGCTTCTTGAAATATTAATTTTGTATTTTGCTTTGCTTACCTGTTGCCAGCTCGGGCTGACCAATCTCTGGCTCCTCCCTTCCAGCAAAACATCCTGAAGGGTTCCCAGTCAGCTGTTCTGTCCTAGGGCCCAGATCAGGACCAGATGGTGATAACTGACTGATTTTCCCCTCAGGAATCAGCACTCCTGAGGCTTTGACTCCTTCAATGACAGCTTCCACTATACGGCAGGCAGTCACCTCTAGCAAGTCTGCTCCCTCAGGCACATGTGCAGCTTCAACAGAGACCATGCGATCACTCCTTTCCCTGCCTGGAGCCAAGATTTGTGTGACTTCTCTCATGCCAGTGGGAGCCTTGTCATCGAGAGCTGAGAGCCCTGTCTGTGTGGGGAGCTCCTTAGCAATAAGCTGCAGTGCTCCATCATCCACTTGTGACTCTTTGGAGTCACCCATAGAATAGCCGTGGTCTGCTCTCTCCTGCTTCCCTGTCTTCCAATCAGGAGGTACCATCCCCGGGTTTGCAGTTCCCTGTAGTCCAGTCATACCTTTGTTTGGTAAATCTCCTGGCAAACTCTGGATCATATTCTTCTCCTGGCTCAATAAAACTTCTGAAATTGGGATGTTTTGGATGTTGGGTGATGTATCCTTTCTTCTGGGCCTAGCAGTACCTCGGAGAGCATTAACCATTGCAACATCCACCATCACATTTCCACTCAACTCATGAACAGTGGTTTTTCCCTGGGATTCAGTATTATCAACTCCCACATTCAGAGCAAAAGGTGGATTGCAGTTAAGAGCCTCAGATTCATCTGGCAGCAAACCAGACAACAGAGGTGAGCTGTTCTGTTCTGCATTCAAGGCTTCCTGCCTTGAGTCTGTAGCCAGATTTGCTCCTGGTGGCACTAGGCTCTGTGCAGCCCCACCTTCAGTCAGCAGGGAGACTTGTGGGGCCACTTCCTTGTTATGTTTAGTTTCTGTCTTAAGACAAGCAGAGGGTGTGCCCAGTGAACGGCTGGGCTGAAGTGCTTTGTCCTCAGCACAGGCCACCAACGTAGGTTTTTCACAGAATTTTGGAGTCTCTTGTCTGGGAGGTAGTGTTCTCTGCTCTTCCTGAAATGTTCCTGAAGAAAGCATGTCTCCCTTAATGGAGGAACAAGGCACTGCTCTGTCCTTGTCATCTTGTCTCTGCACTATAGAGCTTTCTGTAACCACCAGATTTTTGCCTTCTTCAATGAAAACTGAATTAGAAATCAAAGTGGCCTTACCCACACTCAGTAGAGAAGAGTTAGTCAGAACTTCAGGAGCTGATGAGGGGCCAGGACCTTCAAGCTCCCCACCATGTCTTCCAGGGCTGGTATTCCCCATGCTTAGCTGAAGCTCCACAGCAGCCAAGGGCAAGGACAGGCCTATTGCCCCGTCTCCTGGCAACTGTTCAGCAGGATCATTCAAATCTCCTCCAGCCAGGCCATCTCTACAAGCTGAAGCCCTGTGTAGTTCAGGAGTTGCTGTTCCCTTTTCTTTCTGGGAGGGGACAAGAGAAAGTGCGTCATCTTTGGTTACTGATTCACTGCCTGGACTGGCTGCCAGAGAGAAAGTGCTGTCAGATGGCACCGCCTGGTCTGGAACCAGTTCTTTCTCAGTTTTAGGCACAATTGGATACAGAGGTGAAACTACCTCAAGAACATTTGTTAAAAGCGTATCTAGTTTTGAATCTTTTCCCTGACCTTTTTTATTCAAAACTTTGAGAGGACACAAATCTACACATTCTGAAGTGATTGTATTCACTTGTTGGTCTTCAAGGCAGATGGCAGTGGATGGGTCTTGTGTTTTGGGTTGCCCTTTCATGGTGTTTTCAGGTTGGCTGACCAAGTCATTGCAATGTTTTGCAATCACTTCACCACTAGAAGTCACTGTGTTCTGTTGACATTCCGAGTCAGAGCAGAGTTTATCATCTCCATTGGCACAATAAGCCAGTAATTTTCTCTTTTGGCTTTGAGTATGAGATGAATTCATTTCTGATCCCTGGTTTGGCATTACATCTTTTTCTATCTCAGAAAAGAGTAAATCCAAAGGTAACACTGCTTCACATCTGTCTGCTAAGGAAGTGCTAGGCTCTAATTCATCTAAAATCTTGTTATTTGTAGCAGTTGGGATTATCAGAGAATTCTGATCTAGAGCATCAGCACTTTCCTCACAACTTCCAGAAGTTTCAGTTTCTGCTGTTTTTTCAATGGGGGTTTCTCCAAGACTAAATCCAAATGAAGACTCAGCAGGTCTGTCACTACTCGGGGCACTTGTGGCAAAGACACAGTTTGGAACACTGATTTTATCCACAAGCTCACTTATGACTGGTATGTCAGCGGCTCCAGTTGTGCTGATATTCGACTTCTCAAATCTTTCCTGTGTACTTTCTACTGCTTGAGGCATATTATTCTGGGTGGCAGCAGCTATGTTCATGAGGCTATGTTCCACTTCCCCTGCACCTTGTGAGGCGCTGCTTTCTGCTGTTGAACTGTCTGCTAGTTCACCCCCTGAGAAATGCTGGGCTGTGCCTAACTCTGTGACCACATCTCCCTGCAGCACACTGCCTCCAATGCTCAAAGACTCCTCGTCTGTGCCCATTCTATAAGACATTCTTCCAGTTTCTTCATTTTGGTTTCCACAGGATAGCAGGCCAGCTGTGCCCTTTACTCTACAGTCAGGCATGCTCTGAATGCAGCTGTCTTGATTGGACACAGTTCCAGAGTCCATAATAGGTTTTGGCTCCACCTCTTCCCCTTTTCTCGCCACGCCTTTATGTTTTTTACTGTCAGATCGGTCTGTCTTCTCTTCCTCAACTACACTTGAAAAATCACAGGAATTCTCAATCGGTCCAACAGGGCTCCCCTGGCAGCACACAGTGCTCACAGTCTCTTTAGGAGGAGGAGAAAGCTGCTGGCTATTGGAGGACTCAGGTGAACAGAGAAGGAACTGGCCATCTGTCTCTGGGGCACTGGGCACACTGGAAGGATCCTGTGCTGTCATCATTAAGGGCGCAAGATTGTCCATCTGCTTGAGGTTTGTTTTCTAGGAGGAAATCAAAGATAACTTTTTATTTTTATTTATTTTTTTTTTCCAAAGATAACTTTTTTAAAAAGCTATTCGAGAGAAGATGTCACTGATACTTATAAGCCCAACTCTACTGAACATAACTCACTGCCCTCTTGGCCCTTCCAAGGTCACATGATACGGTGATCTAAGCAAATACAAATTAATTATCTCTCTCTCTTTTTTAATATGTTTATTTTTTTTATGTTGTGCTGAGGATCGAACTCAGGGCCTCCCACGTGCCAGGCGAGTGCTCTACCACTGAGCCACAACCCCAGCCCTAATTATCTCTCATTTCTGCTATTATTTTCCTCTCTCCACTGGGGTGTTAAAAATGACTTAGGAAATACTCACTGATTCTTTTCTATATAGAAAATTATGCTAGAAAGTAGATTAAAACTAAGGCTCAAAAATCTTATTTTAAAAAAGCACTGTGAGCCAAGAAGAAATACAATCTACCAACAAATATGGAAAAATGTTCACCATCTCTAGCAATTAGAGAAATGCAAATCAAAACTACTCTAAGATTTCATCTCACTCCAGTCAGAATGGAAATTATTAAGAATACAAACAGTAAGTGTTAGTGAGGATATGGGGGGAAAGGTACACTCATATATTGCTGGTGGGACCGCAAATTGGTGCACCACTATAGAAAGCAATATGGAGATGCCTCAGAAAAGTTGGAATGAAACCACCATTTGACCTAGTTATCCCATTCGTTGGCATATAACCAAAGAACTTTAAATTAGCATACTGCAGTGACACAGCCACATCAATGTAGCAGCTCAGTTCACAATAGCTAAGCTATGGAACCAACATAGATGCCCTTCATCAGATGAATGGATAAAGAATATGTGATATGGAATATTACACAGCCTTAAAGAAGAAAGAAATTATGGCATTTGCAGGTAAATGGATGGAGCTGGAGAATATCATGCTAAGTGAAATAAGCCAAACCCCAAAAAAGCAAAGGGCAAATGTTCTCTCTCATAAGCAGATTCTGATCCACAATTGGGGGGGGGGGTAAGAAAAGAATGAAGGAACTTTGGATTGGGCAGAGGGGAGTGAGGGAGGAAAAGGGAGGGGTATGAGGATGGGACAGATGGTGGAAAGAGACAGACATTATTACCCTATATACACGCATGACTATACTACTGGCCTATACTACTGGCGTGACTTCTGCATCAGTACATGTATAGCCAGAGGAATGAGAATTTGTGCTCCATTTGTGTACAATGTGTCAAAATGCATTCTACTGTTATATATAACTAATTAGAACAAATAAAAGAGTTTTAAAAAGCACTGTGAGCACCTTCAAAGTATGCTTTTTAATATATTCATTAAAGGGGAAGTGTCTACTTTAATCCTGTCTCATATTCAAGTATAAATAAATCCTAACCAGTTTCATAAACTGTTTTTAACCACAACACAAGATGCAATCAGATGCCTATGTATCCTAAACACTCCCTGATGAGTTACAAAGAATCCTTTAATCTCCCAAAAAAGCCCAACCAATCTAGTTTAACTTTTTTACATATTGGTTCATAATTTCAAGAGCAGTGACATGACTGAGGATATAGCTCAGGGGAAGAACGACTGCCTAGCATGCATGGGGCCCTGGGTTCAAATTCCAGGAAAAAACAAAAAAGTGGCATGGTAGGTATTCTTTGACATTTTGATGTCAATACTGACTTATATGAGAACATACAGCACTAATGTCTAACTTAATTACTCTCAGAGGGTACTGGGACTTGAGATATTACAAGTAATCTCAAAAATATTTTTTGCAACTTTAAAGTATTTTTTTTAATGTAAGCAATAGAAGCCACAAGGGAAAAGTTAAGACAATCATGGTTCATCAACCTGATGGAAGGAATACTATGCTATTATATAAATGTTAACTATAAAGACCATAGTATAATCAGAAAATAACATTTATAATACAATGTGGGGAAAAAATTATATACTTAATCTGTTATAATTATGTAAAATTCCCATGCGTATATAGACCAGTCTTAGGAAAAATGGAGGGGAAAAAATTACACAGGAGTCTTTAGTAAGTTTATATCCTGACTTCAGCAATTGTTATAGGAATACTATTTGCATGATACATTAAAATTATTTTAAAATATGTGATTTGTTATTATTTGTTATTATTTGAACAACTACAATGATCTCATGCATACCTACTGTCATCTGTCCTCTCAATCATCTAGTCATTCAGTAAATATGCTGCACACTATATCATGAGACTCTTCCTAATTCCTGAGTCTACTGTAAAAATTTACATATAAAAGAGTAAAATGTGTCATCCTCATTAAAGTATCTCTATTAGAGAATACCACAAAAGAAAAAAAAAGGATTTTCACTAAAGGCTTGCAGGCTACACTTAAGAGTATTCAAAATTAACTTGATACCATTCATACTGAAAGCAACAGTCTCCTAAAAACTATGAAAGCAGGTCACAACATTTAATGAACATTACAAAACAGAGATCTGCAGAAATAAGTAATGTTACCTGAAGAATTTTGGAAGCTCCACAGTTTTAACTGCTCGTATTTTCTGCCAACCATACCTTTCTGGTAGCTTTGACATCTATTAATTGCTATTTTCAAGTGGACAATCATTCACCTAGTAAGAAGAGTTCTAAGGGGGAAAAAACTGATTTTCTAGTAGTCTCTTCAAAGGAAAATAAAATGACTGCTTTGGAACAAACAATTCAAAAAGACAGAGGCAGGCACATTATACAACCCTACTATGGAATCTTTTGGCCTGCTGGTCTCAGAAATCATGTCTGCTCTCAAAGAAGCCTCTGCCATTGAACTGAACCTAAATGACCTTAAATGAAATTATTAACAAACTGTATCCAAATCCAATCAGCTCTGAAATAAACAACATGGAAAATTAAACTTAGCCTTTCAGATGTTGTGGTCAAGAGAAATGTACCCATATGACGTCTATACTGCTCATAATAAATGCTACCAGGGAGTCTGTAATGTTTTTATGTCTGGTAACAACTTTATCTTGAAGGACTGAATGGATTATAAAATTTTAAATTTTTTTAGTGATCTTTTTAACCATGTAACTATCAATTTAAATATAGCAACACTATAATCACTCACTAAAATAGCTGGGAAAAGGTTTCATTGATGAGTAAACTGGGTTCTTGTTCTTTAGCAACAATCTCAGAAACTCTTTTCCCTCATTTAGTTCTACAAAATTAAACCAAACACAGACAAATTTCCTTTTATGCCAGGAAAATTTAGTTCTAGTTGTTTCTTACTTCTACATCTATAATGTGTGTTTATAAATCTGGCAAAAGTCAATTTAAAACACTCAGCCCCCTACTACTACAAAACTAATGCTAATTCTGTATCTTAAGTGATATCATCTAATACCATGAACGCTGCTTTACAGGTTTCATGGCCTTGGTGGAGGCATTTTATGTTTTAACAGCAAGCTTCACTGGGATAGAGAGGGACACACACAGGAGCATACATAAACCTGCAAATGAAAACTTTCTTCCTTACCATCAGTTGCTGTTGGATATTCATAAGTTTAAAAATATGTCCAGAGCAAGTGTCTCCAGGAAACGGAGGTTCATGATGTGATTCAGACTCAGAGGTCAATGTATAGATGTCCAATTCTCGATGATGCCTCACAGAACAATCTCCATAAGGGATTTCATAGGATAAACTGCTCCAGGAGTCTGGCTCTCTAGCATTCTCCCTGCAAGCAAGTAAACTCTGATTAATATATAAACACAATCTCCCAATGTGTAGGTTTAACCCAGCAAATATCACATCATATTTCTAACCTGACTGCTATTAAGGCTCTATAGCAAATTTTTGGTTTATATAGCTCCCCAATAATACAGGAATATAACAAATTTCTCTATCCTCCTCATAAGAGATTACAAATTGGGCAAATGGAAACCACAGGATTCCTCCCTAAAGACATTCTTTTGATTAAGATAAAGAGAAGTGTAGGATCTTAAAATAGCTGATATTATGCTAACAACCAAATAATGTGTTAAGAAAGATGGCTTTAGCCTGGTTTCCAATAGTAGCAAGATTTATTAAAAATTGCTGTTTAATAGATTATACCTTACACTAATTACAGATTATATGGGAAGAAATACCCAGTTGCTACAACCCCTTTAATGGTACTTTAACGTTTGTAATGAGTGGAGGAAACACCCTCAAACTTCTTGAAGTCAATTCCACAGAGAAAACTATAAAATGCCTTATACTATCCTTATTAATATAATTATAAGATTCTGTTTTGAATCATTAATTTATTTTTAATTTAAAGAAGAAACAGGGCTGGGGTGTAGCTCACTGATAGATTGCTTGCCTAGTATGTATAAGGCCCTGGGTTCAATTCACAGCACCACTAAAAATAAACAACAATAAACAAAAAACTGTGCTGATTTCATTACAAACATATATACAAATAAAATTGACAAGGGTACAGGCATATAACAAAGCTTTCTGGCATGGGCCTCAAAGCATGAAGTCTCTATATAGTTCCACTATTAAAAGTCATTTGTTTGGATCAAGGCAAGTGAATTTGTTTTGTAAGGGCCACAGTACCTCTAATTCTACCCTTGCTTCTATAAGACACACTCATAATGCTTGCATGAAACACAAACCAAAATGTCTATTGTGTTTTTCACAGCAGATGAAGGAATTTCAGGGCACAAGATAAACCAGCAATGAAAGCAGACAATGGTACACCATACAACCTCATATTCCCAATTACAGTATTTTGGCACACATTTCAAGTGTTATGCAGCCTTTTTGGTGTTCAACAGAAGTATAAAAATTTCTAAAGTTCTGATCCTTGGTGTCACTGTCCATTCTTGTTAGTTTGATATAAGGTGTAATGACAGAGTTGGAGATTTCTGAATTCAAACTACAGGGCTGTTATTTCCTAGCTACATGATGTTAGTCTCTTAATTTCTTTGGGTCTGCATTACATAATGCACACGAAGGGATTTTCAAGAATTAGAATACAAAGAACTATGTCTTTACTATTTGGCATGGAAAAATAAAAAAATGATGTTGCCTATTACTCCTTCTGCTTTCATTCACTTAAAAATAGTTCCTAGTATGCCTTCCTTCCTTGTTCATCTTCTTTTCTGTATTTATCAGAAAATCCTATTTCTTCTTAAAGCTTTAAAAATACTGAAAACAGTTCTCAAACATCATTCTGAGTAGATACCTAGTAGCTCAAATATTAGGTACAACAATAAGATTATGCTATTAATCCTTCCCACCTTATCTGAAATGTTCTTTATTTTTTCTTTTCTTATAACACTGGTGTTTTGGGTTCCTCATATTATATTTCACCTAAGCAAACAGTACATTGGTAAAGTATCTTAAGAGATTATGGGGGAAGAGAAAGGTTATATATGACATCAAAGTCATGTTTTGAAATGAAAGAAACTAAAAAATCAAGAGAGAGACACAAATAATTCAATTGTCTCTCCAGAAACTTTTTTACCTCATAAATCATACCTGTCATTAATAACTCAACTTGAGAACAAATGATATTTTAAGAGTGTGGTGGAGTGAAATGCCTTTTAAAAAAGTATAAAAGCATGCACTTCAGGGTAACAATGAAGGCTATTGCAAAGAACACTATTGCAATTTCCATACTGAAGAATGACTACCTAAACCAGGTGCAGTGGCGCATGCCTGTAATTCCAGCAGCTCTGGAGGCTGAGGCAGAAGAAGAGTGAGAGTTCATAGCCAGCCTCAGCAATTTAGCAGGGTCCTCTGCAACACAGGAGACCCTGTCTCTAAATAAAACATAAGAAAGGGCTGGGAATGTAAGGCACCCCTGGGCCTAGTTCTCATATCTCCCAAAACAGGGTACCTAATAGTTGCTTAAAATAAGACTGGCATATACTGTGCTAAATGTTTTATGTATTTATTTATGTATTTTATATTTATGAATTTGTCAAGCTACTCTACTTTGGGTAAAACGACCTCTAATAAAAAGTACCTACCGATAAGTTAGACCCTTAAAAGTTCAATGGAATGGCTCAAAAAAAAAAAAAAAAAATCAGTTACACCAAATGAGAAAGAGACAATTTCTCTGTAAACTCAATTTTCAAGCTGAGTTGTTTAATTCTTAAATTGTTCCATTTCTATTCTTTAAACCTTGGGAAGTCCCTGTCTCTGACCACAAGTTATTTACATTCTACCTCTCCCATCCTGACCTTCCAGAGGAAGGTGCTTTGGTTGTCAAGTTACCTCCAGGTACTAACTTTTCAATCTCTCATTTCGTTGTCCCTATGGACTGTTGTTGCTTCTCAGTTCCGCTAAAGACCTGTCACTGCAATTATTTTCTCACTGGCTTCCATGAATGTCTGTTGCTACTGACATTCATCAAAACCCATCTTATCCTACAGGTCTGAGTAAATCCCACTATTAATTCATTCAGCAAGTATTTATTTGCCGGGCACTATTCAAGGTGCTGGTGAAACAAAACCAACATCCCTCTTCTGTTGAGAGCTTATATATTCAACAAGGGAGAAAAGGGCAATCAAGACAAGTAAGTCACCTAGAAGATAGCAAGTATTATAGAGAAAAGCACAGCAGGGACGAATCTTGCAATTTGAAACATGGTAACATTTAAATAAATATATCTCCTGCTCTGAATTAAACCTGTATAAAAACCTTTACTAAGTCCACTAAAAAAAAGCTGGCAAAGCTCTATGCATAAGAATGTTTGCAGCAACTTTAGGTACTGTAGCATTAAAAACTGAAAACAATGGAGGAGGACCCCAGCCTCCCGCCTGTGCGGTAGACAGACCACCCCAACTGGAGGAGGGGCCCAGCCGCCCACCTGTGTGGTCACCTGACCGAGCTCTGGACAAACAAAAGGTCTCCCCAACACCCCCCACCTCATCAAACACCTTATGAGAAAAACTGATGGAACTCATCTTGGAAAATCCAACCAACCCTTAAAACCCATAAACCGGTGGGCGTGGCTACCAGCTCGATTCTGCAGCGGATCAGGCACCTGGTTTACATCAGAGAATAAGAGTAGAGAGTCCACAGGTGGAAGCTCAAGTCCTCTCACACTGACTACCAACACCACCCTGAACGCAAAGACTCAAGCTAGGAATAGACAACACCACCTACTGGAAGAAAAGAAAACAGAGTTCTGAGAGACTTTTTTTCTTTTTCTTTTTTTCTCTTCTCTCTCTCTTTTCATCCATTCATCCAGTCTTCTCTACCCTTCCCCCTCTGGTCCTCACAAGCTCAACATATGTGAAACCAAGAATTGTGCATGGAAAAGGTCTTTAATAACTAAACCACCAGAATATATAATATAGAGGAATTACATATGCCCCACCTCCCTCCCCTCCTTTTATTTCTTTTCTTATTTCTCTTATTTTCTTTTTCCCGCTCTCTTTTTTCTCTCTCTTTCCTTGATATGTTTTTCTCCTTCTTACTCCCTCTATCCCACTTGCAACCCCCTAAATTTTACTATTTATAAGTAGGGTAATCTTATAAATACAGATAGGAGTTTGAATCTATACATTCTTCCATAAATTACCCATCGATTGGTTAGAGCTCTCCAAAGTTACTAAGTTAGATTAACCCCATACCCTCACTCCTTTCCCCCTAAATATAACATCCTACACCTGAAATTCAGTTTTCTTCATGCTCCCAGAGACGGTATGCCTTTCATGAAACTAATGACTATATTTGTAAATGATAATCGAAACCAACATTTGTAGACATACAGTCTAGCTATAAATGTAGTAATAAGGAAAACGTGTGCTTAGATGATGTACTATTGATATTGGGAACTGTTAACATTGTCTTTCTCCACAAAAGGGAGACTTTGCAACTACACAAGAGAAATATAAATATAGAGGGGGAAAATCAATAACACAACAGTTTCACAAAGCAGAAAGAAACGTGAGCAGTATGAAAAGACAAAGAAAGAAAGGACCACAAGCAATGCAGATCAACTCAACTTTAAAAGAGGTAATATCTGCAGCAGATTGAATGTCAGATAAAGAATTCAGGATATACATGCTTCAGATGATCTGGAGTCTCAAGGAAGACATTAGACAGCAAAATCAGACAATGAAAGATCACTTCGACAATGAATTATATAAACAAATCCAAGAAGCAAAACATCAACTATACAGGGAGATAGAGGTTATTTAAAAAAAAAAAAAAACAGAAATCCTGGAAATTCAGGAAGCAAAAAACCAAATTAAAAACTCAAATGAGAGTATTACCAGCAGAGTAGAACACTTAGATGATAGAATGATGACAATGAAGACAAAATATTTCAACTTGAAAAGAACATAGACAGCTCAGCGAGACTGTTAAGAAACCATGGGCAGAACATCCAAGAAATATGGGACAACATAAAGAGACTAAATTTAAGAGTTCTTGGGATACAGGAAGGTATAGAGGTCCAAACCAAAAGAATGAGCAATCTGTTCAATGAAATAATATGAGAAAACTTCCCAGACTTGAAGAATGAAACAGAATCCCAAATCCTAGAAGCCTACAGGACGCCGAATGTGCAAAATCATAAAAGATTCACAACAAGACACATTATAATGAAGATGCCCAAAATACAGAATAAGGAGAGAATTTTAAAAGCTACAAGAGAAAGGAAGCAGATTACATTTAGGGGTAAACCAATCAGGATAACAGCTGATCTTTCAACACAGACTCTGAAAGCTA